GTGACCAAATATCCTGTGCGCTTTATGTACTGTGACACTCGTACATGGGTTACCTACATAAGATTTATGTACATACTTATGTTAATAGGTTACTTTGGTAATCTGCAATTGATACTCTTTTGGTATTTTCTTTACATCTGTTGTGTAAACTGTATGTGACATTTTCGCTAGTTCGATGGTTAAATACGAAGTCTTAATAGATAATTAGCTATGAGAATAAAACAAAACTTTACAGTCGTCTTTAAAGAATTTCAGTGTTTATGTAGCTATAGGCGTACATATAAAAATAAAGATAATAGCAGCAGTACGCAAGACAATATAAGCTTAAATTGTTTAAAATCATGTATCTAATTGCATTCTACATTCAGTGATTATGATCGAAGTCACGTATCGACATCTATTTTAAACAAACAATACGTTCATAACGTTACTAAATCATATTATAAACCTGTACTAAACATAAAATAAATTCCCAATAGAATTTACAATCAAGATACAAATCTTGAACTATTAATGATACGTACAAAGTAAACAATTCCCATATTACATAATACACGTCTAGGCTGTTACGTGTCTACCTAACTAGGCACTACTATAAGCTAGCTAGACTACTATGCCTAGGAGTACTAGGTCCACTTGATAACTAGATTTAGAGTGATGGGTGACGCCCGTGTGTGTCACTCATGTGGAACTTTAAAGAGCTGTTTAGTCGAAGTAATTAGGAAGTTTCTGATTGCGATATGTTATTATGATTTTATCTTTACTTGTTTTTAGACATTTTTTTTCTGTGGAAATATGTATCAGTTTTATGGGTTTCAGCTAAACTGTGAATACATTGTGATCATTCTTTACATATATCATATGTTTTACATAAAATGCGCTAGAAAACTTGAGTTTGGCCTGAAACGCTCCCTTGAGGTACTCCTGCGTTAAAACATTAATAAATTTATGATCCTTAAATAATAATAAGAAATATTTTGCCATATTATCTAATAGTGAAGTAGGTAATCTGCATAACAATGATAAATTTCAATTGATGTCTAAACAGCTAGTCATAACTAGTCTAAACCTCGCTCGAAAGCTTTAGACAAATCAAGAAACACGTATAAATACAGAATCAATTACTTATTTGCATGTTACTGCTTTTTTCCTTGGTATGATATACTAATTAACAGATAATTCACTTCAGTAATGTATCGTCAAGTGATCTGATTACATTCCATCATCTCGCTCATCCAAAAAATCCTAGAACTGTCTACTCCATATAAACTCTCAACAAGTTTCCTATACAGGGTGTATTAATCGTGTTTCCGCGGAACACATGGTGTGTTATAAATACAAGATTACTTTCCTTGACTGTATCACTTTCATTTCACACTTGATATAGATTAGTCGGAGAAAATGTATCCAGTTTATTATGTAAGTTTTGTTTTTATTAATTACATTTTCGATCCTGAAAGATCTTATTTTGTTTTTTGAAACGACTTCAATGCCCATTTTTATTAACCTCTCCTAAAAAGGAAGCCCAAAGTTAAGATGGCTAATATTTAACCTGACACCTAACGTACAAGTAAGGAGTTAGTTTGTGTGGTACGTTACGCTAAATAGCTTTTAGTTAAGATATTGTTTAGGGGTGGTGAGCAACTGCCATATGCCGTATATTAAGATAATACTTTTAAGTATTATCATGTGTCTCTACCTATTTTTTTATTTCACTCTTTAAACAACGTTAGCTCAATTTCTCTGTTTCAATATACTTGTTTAGATCTTTCGAAAACAGTATGATGAGTAAATGTATCATGCACGTGCAGGGTATCCTTATCCTTATCTCAGTCTGAATGTTTAACAGTTGTATTTTTGGATTCCACTGACATATCACACGTGTTCTGATGTTTTTTGTTCTCAGAAATCAAACTATTATCATTTGTATTAAGATAAAAAAGAGTAATCAGTAGAGCATCTTCGGAGTGAGAAAGTCTTTAGTCTATTTTTGATTGATAAGCTGTGAGCATTTAGCTCAGAAATTGTCGTTCACTATACTTTGAAGCGACTTCGAAAAACAAGTTCTCGGTTTCACCTGTATGTATGTATTGTAACGTTTGTTTGATTATCTCACGATTGTCTGAACCAATTCGATTCACGGGTCGGGAAAATATTATTACAAAAAAAAAATCCCAGTAGTAGCACAGAATCTGGAAATGTGCCCGGTATATGGCAATAGGCTCATCCCCTATCATATGGGACTCATAACATAAATAGTGAAAAGTGGGTGTACTTCTATGTGCACCTCTGCCTACCCCTTCGGGGATAAAAGGCCTGATGTTATGTTATGTGTCTGAACCGATTTAGTTGCGGTTTTCAGTAAAATGTTTGTTACGTTTAGGAACGGGTTGTAGTTAAACAATTAAACTGTCAAACACCAAGCGGTCACCGGTGACCGCAACCTATTGTTCTATAATTGTGTCTACAAAACCGGTACTCGACGAGTTAACTTTGAGAAAGGAGGTCGAAGTCTACTTATTATTCCATAGTTTGGCAGGGCACGGCAGGACGATCACTTTCCTTGACACTTACATGTATGAATGACCAGTCACCTCTACTTATCTCTTAGCTAACGATGTTTACATTAATGAGTTCGTGTGTACTCTTAGATAAGTCATTGAAATACATTTCTTGTTGCCGGAAATTTTCATTTTGTAATCTATTTTGTTATGAGGACCTAGATAAAGTTCAATGTAATAACAGAATTGTGTTAGAATACGTGTATATTTATCTAATGTTTCGTGAGAAATAATTGCATGCTTGTCTATCTTAGTCTAGTCTAATTAAGGAAGGATATAATAGGGAGCGACACAAAGTTCTGTGCAATGAGTGCTATATAATTAAGAATTAACAAACACCGCGAAATTGGTTTTGGCTTTAAATATTTTCTGCATACCTTCATTATTTTTTTCTTACTTATGTAATAATAATAAGAAGAAGTATTTGTTTATTTATTTATATAAAAGAAGAAGGAGAAGGACGAAGGCGAAGGAGGAGAAGAAGAAGTATTAATTTATTTATATATATTATATTTATAGTATATAATAAATAAATACTTTTTCTCTTAACAATAACAAACATAATAAAAAGAATAACCAAATCGGTTCAGCTGTTTACGATATTTGAGCTTAGCTACACATTTAGTGACTTTTGCCTAAGGTATTTCCAAAGAGATACATAATTCCAGACTCCTTGCTAGTGAGATTTAAAAAAAAAACCAGTTATGCTTTGGCCGACCCGGGAATCGAACCCTTGCCCGGCAGTCGCACTTATGACCACTCGGCAAACGAGGCAGTCGCTGTTGCTTAGTTTAGTTTGTTAGTTGTTTTTTTTCCTTGATTGACTAATGTATCCATAAAAGTGATTCTTGGTCGTAAATTATATTTAGGGCATTTTATTATTTCTTAATACATACATGTGCGTTCGGATGCCGTCGGTTAAAAATTGTAGGTCAGTAGTTTTTGGTTTATAGTTTATCAGAAGTTCGCTAGATAACCTCAATAATATTGAACTCATAATTGTTATAAATTGTCAACAATACTACTTCCTTTTTTAATTAACTTTTAATTATCTACTGGTATTCATAGCAATATAAATATACATGCATATTGAGTGCCTCTTTCCTTGGTAAATATTAATTCATATCTGTCATAGGTAGGTACGCATATAGGTATACACAATTACCTACATAACATAACATCACGCCTTTTATCCCCGAAGGGGTAGGCAGAGTTGCACACAGAAGTAACACCCACTTTTCACTATTTATGTTATGAGTCCCATGTAATAGGGAGTGAGCCTATTGCCATATACCGGGCACGTTTCCAGACTCCGTGCTACTACTGAGAAAATTTTCAAAACCCAGTAATACTTTGCCCGACCCGGGAATCGAACCCGAGACCCCTTCCTCGGCAGTCGCACTCGCGACCACACAGCCAACGAGGCACAATCATAATTGTTATTATTGCATTGTTTAAAAATATTCACATTTTATTGAAACAATATAGACACGACAGAAAGGAATGACTTTAAACTTTCCACAAAGCCAATTCGGTTTGCTTTATATCTCTGTTATTTGTCAGTTATTATCAGACACCAGCGCCAATACTGATTGACTACGTCCTCATTTCAACGAGCTAATCTCCAGTACTACTAATCCGAATTGAATAATGCGGTAGTTGACAACAAGTCAAATTCAATACTTTTATTGAAACGTCAAAAACGATACTGTCCTATGAATTTTGTACGAAATACCATCTTATGACGTCATCATATTTTCGCGTCAAATAGCATACTTACATAAAAATAAACTTTTTGACTGCACCGTTTGACTGCACGGTTGGCGCGGTGGGTGGACAACTGACTGCCGCGCAACGTGTCGCGGGTTCGATTTCCGCACGGAACAATTCTTTGTGTGATCCACAGAATGTTGTTCCGGGTCTGGGTGTGATGTGTATGTGAACTTGTATGTTCGTAAACGCACCCACGACACAGGAGAAAATCCTAGTGTGGGGCAATGTTTTAAAAAAATGCTAGAATAAATCGAAAATTAAGTATATCGGCAAATCATTGAATTAAAGTGTAACTATTTTCAATATTTAATTGGACTAAAAAATCGAAATAATTTATTTTTGACCGAGGAAACTACCCAATTCTTCTTCTCCATTTATCTAGGAAGGCTATAGGCTATAAATCGTCACGCTACGATCAATAGACTGCGCGGGAGTTGCTAGTTGACTCATTTTTACGTATAATTTAGTTCATTCATTCTAGAACAAACCGCAGTGCATATGTATCTAATCAGCATAATGTGCGTAATTACACTAAAGTAACATTCGATTACCTGATAAGATATCACTGGCGATTTTAGTAGAATTAATAATAGGTACCTATCTATTGTTTCGTGAAAAATGGTTTTCGAAGATTTTCGTACCTATGACATCACGTTTTCACTGAAAATGGAACCAGTGAGATTTAGAAGTCATCTGTACATGATATTTTATGTCTCTTTTCTTCAGGGGCTTTAACAAGACGGCTTATAAAGAAAATAGGAGATAAAGAGTTTCTCAATACTGTAAGAGCAACATAAGTACATAAACGTGCAAATATTCCCAAATTTTTCCTTTTTCCAGATACTGCTGTTTCTCTGCCTACACCATGCTCACAGCGCAGACCAGGTGAAGCGGTCCGTCGGCTCGATACCAATCCGCCACACTTATTCAGAGTATCACAACAAGGTCGCCATTCCAGTTCCACAACCTATTCCTATTAGCGTACCACGTGCCGTTCCTTACCCTGTCCATGTTGGGGTGCCTGTGGACCAGCCCCGTCCCGTCCCAGTGCCTGTACCACAACCTGTAGCCCAAGTTATATCCCGTCCAGTGGCCGTGCCCATAGACCGTCCCTTCCCATACCCGTATGCTCAACCAGTGCCTGTAACTGTGACCCAGGGAGTAGGGATTCCTGTTCCTCAACCGTATGCCGTTGGAGTACCCGCTCCTGTACCGGTGGGAGTTCCCCAACCAGTTGCCGTACCTGTATCTGTGGGTGGTGCTTTAGGAGGAATTGGGGGTGCTGGAGGAATTGGAATCGGAGCAATAGGAGGAATTGGTTCAATTGGCGGAATTGGTGCAGTTGGCGGAATTGGTGCTGTTGGTGGATTAAGCACTATTGGAATTGGCGGTATAAGCAGTATATCTTCTATTGCCGGCCATTCGTCAGTAATTTCCCAGCCTGTGATTGGTCACGGTTATGGCGGTTCTATCGCAGCGTCTCACGCGCATGGTCATCATTATTGATTTTTTGAACAGCAAGTCATCTATGTTATTTATAATTAACCAAATATGTAAATAAGTTTACTTTACACGTATTGTAGATGTTAAATATTGTGCAGTAATTGTATCTGATGTGTGTATCATCATAGCACATTTTGCATTTTGTTTATGTACTGAACTGATGAATTTTTGTCCTTTTGTCAACGTCTTAGGGCACTGAGTTTTGAAGACTATATTTAGTTTTGGCCATCTACCTATAACTCCTAACAATGACTATTTTTATTTGTTATTAGATTTTCGAGATTCAAACAAAGATAGTAATGGTCATTTCTCATGGAATAGATTGTGAATTACATAGTTTGTATTGTACATATTTATCTTATATATCTTTGTTTGTCTTTTTCATCTCTTGCTTGTCTACTGTCTAATGAGAGTGTATCCTCGAATCATACGTGACAGTTTTGTCATAACTTCTATCAGTTTTCACAAACAGACGATAGGATTATTTAGTTTAATCCGATGATTTCTTTATTTAAAACATTTTTTTTTATTTTTCTTGCACCAATATTTATAGTCGACTTTTTTTTTCTATGAATATGTAAGTAGGTAGCAGTCAGATATGAAAACTTTGTGGTGCTACAATCAATTATCATGTATTTTTTTTATTTATATTAACACTAATGTGTGATGGATAAACAAATACCTATAGACGTTATTGCATTAATCTATATCTATATAAATAAAAATGAATTTCTGTTCGTTAGTCTCTTTAGAACTCGAGAACTGTTGAACCGATTTGGGTAAATTCGGTCTTAAATTGTTTGAGAAAGTCCAGGGAACGTTTTTGGGCGGTACAGAGTTTGCCGGGTCAGGTAGTACCTATATAATATAAATTAGTAATGTATTGTGCATCAACCAGAATGATGTATAGTATTTTAATATTAGTAAATGTTTTGTACTTACTTAACATAACATAACATCACGCCTTTTATCCCCGAAGGGGTAGGCAGAGGTGCACACAGAAGTAACACCCACTTTTCACTATTTATGTTATGAGTCCCATGTAATAGGGGCTGAGCCTTTTACCATATACCGGGCACAATTCCAGACTCCGTGCTACTACTGAGAATTTTGTTAAAACCCAGTAATGCTTTGCCCGACCCGGGAATCGAACCCGAGACTATCGACAGTCGCACTTGCGGCCACCCGGCCAACGAGGCAGTCACTTTTGTACTTACTTAATGTAGTAATTAGTATAAGGATGACTATTTACTGATATACATAATTAGTAGTCGTTATTAGAAATGTAATGTCAATATTCTAATGTTACATATTAAAGCTTTAATTATTGTCATTAAGATTATTTGAGATGAATAAATTGTATTATTTCATCAGAGTATTCGTGGTTTTCTTTTATCCTTACTAATATTATAAATTGGAAAGTGAGTTTGTTCTGCTTTCACGCCGTAAGTACTAAACCGATTGCTTTGAATTTTAGCAGACATAAATTTAGAAGTCTGTATTAAACAATAAGGTACTTTTTATCCCGAAAAATGGATATTCCCGAGGGAAAACAAAAGTATTGGTATAGATGGCGCAAAAGTATTGATACACACAGGTGTATTGATATCCTTTTGTGACGCGAGCAAAGCCGCGGGTAAAAGCTAGTTTTCTATAAATAAAAATAAACAGAAGTACACAAGAAGAAATCTCTTTTGGTAATGGAACAGTGTCGTCTTTATAAGACCTAGGCCATCTGTTTAATGGATTGACTGAAGTCATTAAACACATAATTTTAAGGTTTCAAATCAGCAGTTTATAACCCTGATAATTGGCTAGTTTCCTAGGTTAAAAATAAATTGTTTCAACTTTTCAATGCAATTGAATTTAATAATAATAAAATTGCTGTAATCTAGAACTCGTCAATTGTAATTTTACGAATAATAGTTGCATGCGTTAATTGGTGGAACATGATGAACTGCGCATTCATCTAACATCTTGAAATGCATCTAAATGTACCGTGTTCAGCAATAAAGATATTTGATTGATTTGAATAAATAATTAAAAAATATTCATACTCTCATTCATTGCTTTGAAAATTTACTTACTTTTGGATTTTTAGTCACTAATTTTATGGAAATAAGTATGCTAATTGACGCAGAAATATGATGACGTCATAAGTTGCGATCCAATACAAAATTCATAGAAAAGTATCGTTGTTGATATTTCAATAAAAGTATTGAATTTGATTACTTGTCAACTGCCGTATTGTTCACATAGGTAATCAAAAAGTTGCATACAAAAGAATATAACTTACTATATATAATACGTGCAATGTTTCATCTAAATCAATAAAATCCTTTTAATATTATAAATACTATGCCACTGCTTCACGTATTATCACTTTTCATCTAAATGAAAACAAACTATCGTCACAAAACCTCTTTTTTTAATTGTGTTACAATTACAGGATATTTAACAATAACAAATATAACTAATTAATTTTCATAGAAATCGTAAATAAACAAATGATTTCACATTTGCTCACGTGCAGGGCTAAGTTATGGCTAATGGGATTATCTATCATTATCATAAGTGTGCCCTAACGATACTGGCTGATAAAGAGGCTCTTATCGGCTACTGATATCATAATATCAGTTCACTGTGTTTAGGCGAACGGGCCGGTCATATTCAGTGATCACTATTTCCATCTTCGCAATCATTATTACTGTTTTAAAAGTGAAGTGTTTGTGTGTGATTAAAAATGAAGTTAAATCGTAAGTATTGTTAATGTTTAGTTTAGTGTTTTTATCAAGTCTCTGTATAAGGTTGGTTTGTGTGTTTGTCTAAACTACGAAACGGATGCAAGGATTTTGATGCTGTTCAGTTGTTTTGTTTCAATTCAATGGTTGGTGTTGTTTTATCTTGTTTTTGTAATACCTTGAGGTGAGTCTGTCAGTATTTTTGAATGTAGATACATTGTAAGGTTTCAGATATTTAATATTGATTATTGTAGAAATAGTCCTTAAGGTGATTTTTAAATAATCACCATAAGTTTTCTTACTCAAACATAACTTTTGACTTATCGATTCTTCGCTACACGTAGAAAAATATGCAGTACCTAATTTATTGAATTAGGATAAGAGAAGCGCCTAGTAGATAAGTTATATTCATTTGCAGTTTTGCAACAAAGCGATGTCTCTCTGACGAAAACATTTTTGTCAACGTCTTTATGTCTTCTGTGTTGTATGACATGTTCAATCATAAATTTATACAAATATGTATATAACACTCAGACTCAGAACAAAATACATACAAAATAATTGTTTCTTGGAGGAATTGAACTCCTTAAAGTTAGTTAAGGCACTGAACAGTGTTAGTCAGGAAATCTATACCCGAGCGTACGGCGCATTGCGTTCCGCTCGCGTCTCTAAGAGCCATCAGACCACCACAGATGGGGCCCAATAGGGCTGATGGCGATACGGAGCCGCGGAGGGCTTAACGGGTAACCGGGGCTCCGGCTCGACGTGCAGGAGAAGGAACGCGGTGGTTTTAAGTCAGTAAGAGTCTGACACTCCCTCTTGTCGCATCCAGGCGGGAGAAGTCATTGCATGAATGCATGTGCTTGACTTAGGAAATCTATGAATAGCTAACAAAATATTCATTATTTTCATCTCTCACGTTCAGTCCAACAGTTTAGCAGCTTTTTATATCTATTCGTGCCCATATCTAGCATAGGTACATAGATATACGAGATGTGTGTTCCCACACTATTTACGTTCATATGAGTTGCTAGTGATGACGACTATTGACCATGTGAATAAACATACTACCAGACAGGATACTGTGAAATAAAGGAATATGGTTCTTATATAATGTAAATTTTGTCTTGATTATTTAACTGCGTTTTAAAGTAGGTACCTACCTCTTAGAATGCAGTTAACTTTTCAAGGGAGTAAAG